TTTGCCCCAAAATTCTTTTAAATTGCACATGCATCAACACTAACATTTCAAAATCCCAATTTTTTTATGTCCAACCCTTAAAATTCGAAATCTTTACCCAAATTATGCAGAAAATGAAATCAAGATTTTAATCTAGGCAACAACTTTGAAAATTCCATTTTTCACCCCAAGACTTTTAGATCCACACATGCAAAACCACTAAAAGATCAAAATTTACCCTTTTCTTAGAAACTTACTAAATCTGAAATTTTCGTTTAATAAATGCTGAAAAAAAACAATTTTGAAAACTCAATGAACCTGACTTCTCACAATTTACAGATCTGGCCCGAAAATATGCAGAATTACACATGCAACCCCAAAACTTTTTCCCAATTTAATTTCCTCACAATTTTCGAAATAACTAATATTTTCTTTGGAAGAAATCAACCCAAATCTACCATTTAAGACCTCTGATCATACATGCAATAACATAAATCCTACGGATTAACAACAAGAAACAATTTAAATGCAAGAACAACACAAATAAGAATTAGGGGTGTCTTTTAATTAATTTCGAAGTTTTTTCTTTTTATTACTTGATACCTCCATTTGCAGCAAGGATTTCGATTCCTTACCTCAAAAATAGAAAAGAAATAAAGGCTAGATGAAAAGGGAAAGGTTCTTGGGAGCCTTCAAGGAAAAACCGAAAGTTAGAAAGGGAAAAACGAAGAAGAAGAAGAAGTGGGAGAACTTGAAAATGGCGGAGTCTTACCTTCTTCAAGCTTGCAGATTTAACCAAGCTACCTTAATGTGGAAAGATACCGTGTAGATTTCTAGGTGAGAGGTGTTTTCATTTGTGAAGGGGCACCATGTATTTATAGTATTTTTTTGAGTATTCAAGTGCAAGGGTGAGATAGGGAATTCTCATGGTTGGTTTGATAAATATCTTGCTGAGTTTGAAGAGGGGTTCAAGCTTGGTGGTGCCGGTGGAAATGGTGGTTTCGGAGGTGAAGAAAGAAAAGCAAAAATGGAGAGAGAGAGAGGGTATGTTGCAGCCGAAATGGGGAGGGGAGAAGGGACTCTTGGCCTTCTTAAGTGGGCATGCTTGACATGGAGTGTAGGAGTGGTTTAGTAGGGGTTAGGCTAGGCTTTAGGATAATCATTTACTTGATTTCAAAATATTCAATAATCCCCCCCTAATTACATACACACATATACACGGCACACACATACATATATATATCTATTATATATTATGATAATTCCTAATATGCATGCATAATTACCGAAACACATAGGCACATAAGGTCACGTAATAAATTTGATATCTAATAATTCGGATATCAATAATTCACGTATAGCCCAAATTTTATTTTTGGTAAAATCTAGCATTTACGTGACTAGAGGTTTTACGGTTTAGAAATTATCGTGTTTTGAACACGTGGGGTGTTACATCTTAAATGCGCATGCTCACGGATCTCCCACTCCGAGAAGAATATGGTAACAAATAAGGATAATCTAGAATTTTTTTGGTGGGACGATCTCGTGGGAGGGAGGAGCCAAGAAAATAGACGATGAAGAAAGAAATGACGACGGATGTAACGATTGATGATGAAGAAGAAGGGTAATAATGAACCACGAATTTGAAGAATTAGAATTTACAGTTTTGACGAAGGAGAAAAAGATGAAAGAAGAGTTTATGACTAATTTTTCTTTCAAACAAATTTTATTTATCCTAACTAAGTTCAATTGAAATTGAACTTATGTAATTGTTTAGATAAGTTTTTAAGTTAAAATAAAATTGTGTTTTTTGGTAATTTCACTTACAATTCATGGGTACGTACTTTTTTTATGGGTTCAAACTTATCCCATATGTCATAATTTTATTGGTTGATTACGGTTCGAGAAGTACACTCCTCCCGGACCCCAGACAACCCCATCTCACTTATATCACGCTTCCACTCTCACCAATTTCACGTCCTCCTCTCTCTCCCACTCATTCCCTCTCCATCTTTTCTCTCTCTCCCTCCTCCATTATTCTTACTATACCCCCTCTCTATCTCTCCTCTATGTCTCCTCTTGTCACTCTCCCCTCTCCCTCGATCACCTTAATTTTTATTTTTAAGTAAACTTTTAATTTTGTTTGTATTTTTTAATTGATTTTCATTCAATAAATAAAAAAAATAAATTAAAACGGAAAATAAATTGGCAACATGAAATAAAAAGCTGCAACTGCAATTTGTAACATTACATTTTGTTATTGTTTGCATATAGATGGTGCATATCCTATTATTCAGTTCGTTTGTTTGCAATTAAATATAGGTAGTTTGTTGTTTGCAATTAAATATAGATATTGCATATACTAATTTTCAGTTTGTTGTTTGCAATTAGATAATAGTGGTGCTATTTCCACCTTCAAAGTATATTATCACCACCAAAGATTAAAAAATGTCATAAATACCCCTGAAATTTATAATCCACCACCCTTCCTTTATATTCACTTAATCCTCACGTGTTCTAAGTTATTTCTATTTTTTTTTCAATGAAATATTTATTAGAAGATATTTAAACTTCCATATCAGATAACCTACAAATTATGTAAAAACAAATTAAGAAAACAAAATTATGTCAAGCCAAATTGGCCAATTGTGGAGGAAGTTCATGACCTTCTATACAATCACTGTTAATTTATTTCTCCAAAACCGTCAATTCATGCTCTTTCTTACCTTCGAAAATGTTTTTCATTGATGAAAGTATTATTCACTTAAGGTGGAGAGGGTGAGATTTGCAGTGAAAATGGTGGGGTTTTTTTTATAAATATATTAACTAGTTTAATAGTAGACTCTTTATAAATTTGTAAAAAATATAGGTGAAAGAAGAAGAAACGGGTAGAATAAGAAATATATTTAATTTAATGGTGAAATAAGATATTTTGAGTGTGGAAATAGCACGTCTCGCAGATAATGCATCTCCTATAGGGAGTTTGTTGTTTGCAATTAAATAATGCAGATTATATTCTCAATTTGTTGTTCGCATATGACGGAATCATTGGGGCGGTTGTAGTTTTTCTAGATTATATATATATATATATATATATATATATATATATATATATATATATATATATATATATATATATATATATATATATATATATATATATATATATATATATATATATATATATATATATATATATATATATATATATATATATATATATATATATATATATATATATATATATATATATATATATATATATATATATATATATATATATATATATATATATATATATATATATATATATATATATATATATATATATATATATATATATATATATTATCGCATTATTTACGATTTTATTTTATTTTTTATTAAAATTAGGAGGAGAGAAGTTTAAGGAAATCTGATTTGATTTAGTGATTTTTGAAAGATTTGATTTGAATTGATTAAGGGCAATTTTGCCACTATAAATACAATTAATTTATTAGAAAATAAAAATTTGACTTGCATCTAAACACATATAATCTAATGTAGAGGAATTTATAGAAAATTGCCCCTTATTTAATTGAGAGTGAAAAATAATATAATTTCCTACCAATTTATCCATTCATTATTGGAAGATAAAAAAATAATTTCTATTTTTTTAATTATATTTTAACGATTATTATTTTTAATGAAAGAGTTGGATTATATGCAAAAATTATATTTTCATAGGTTGGTCACAAACTTAAGTTTATTTACCTTGTAAAATGAAACAAATCTTACCATCACGAGGGCCACATTTCATGACTTATATTTATTCATATATTATTGGTATGACAATTATTAACAAACTTATATTTCAACAAGCTAGATGGCTAATATTGAAAAATTACTCAATTTAAATGTAACATGTTTTCATTTATCAAACAAACTTAAGCTTTCAACATTCAGTATTCAAGCACTACTCTCATTCGATTGTGTATTCAGCATTTAATGTTCAACATTTAATTGTATCAAACATAGCCTAAGCTGAAAGTTTAACTTCCAAAGCAGTATTGCCTACCGAAGGCTGAATATATGGCTATCGCAGAAGCTATAAAGGAAGTTGTCTAAATGATCGAAGTGATTCAGGAGCTTGAATTTGAACATTTTCCGCACGAACTAAAACTACTATAAAATCGTAACATCATAGTTTGCATGTAACACCCATTTTCTAATTACACTTACTTAGTAATTTAGAATATGCTAGCGGAAGACTTATAGAAAATAATGAGTGTGGAATGCTCGTTTTAAAAATCACCTTCTACCAATAGAAAGTTACGCATAAATTTTTCTTTTAAAATCAGAGGAAGAGTGTCCACATAATACTATATCATATACACTTTACCAAATATCACAAAAGGAACATGCATGACTAGATTATTGAAATTATCAAGAGTAAAGATTAGGAATTTCGGACAGATTTGGTAGATCAACTTAGAAAATTAATATCTCTTGAACCCTTCATGAAAGTACTTTGAAAATTTAACCACATACTCTAATATGGGTTGAAACTACTCAGTTAAAAACAATTTTAAAATATCATTAGCCATTTGAGAGAAATAATTAAACATATGCAACTGTACAGTTTAAAAATCAAGAACAGGAGAGGGAGCTTTGAAAATTATTTATAAATTCCCTACTATTCTAAAAACTACCAAATTTTATATGAAAGTAGATAAGTGATTTAGGAACATATTACAAGTTAAATGGATTCATTTGAGTAAGAAAAACTTCATATATTGATGCATGTCCTAAAATGACTCATCATGTGCACAGTTACGGAAATTAATTCATAATAAATTCTTGACTTGTCCAAATGATGCAAAAGACCTACCAAAATAACCCTAACAGAAAGACCTATGACTCTGTAAAATTACATGCAATTCTAAACAGAAAGTATATTTAATACGGATTATCGAACAACAGGGCAGAACACAACATATAACTACCCGATAAGCATTATATAGAAGTTTGGCAAAAAGAGGAAATCAAAATCCTAATTATTATTAGATGCAATGTTCTTACTAATAAGATCCCCCGAGGGGTGGAAGAGTACGATAATAGATATCTAAGACGGTATCGAAAGTCTTTAGAATTAAACTATATAAGTAAAACAATATGGCTAAATTAAGAGCACACAAGATCCACACGCCTTCCATATGAACACATCCCTCGATCCTCGAACTCGACTCCAACTTTACGACTCGTGCTCGGGATTGAAAGTACCTACAAACATTTCAACACCTATATGAGTCTTTTGGACTCAATGAGAATTCCGAATAAATACCGAATACACATAGGCAAACAAACATATATTTATGATATGTATATATGTATATATACCATCTCAAATCGCACATTACACAATATAAACATTTCATTTTACCTCAATCGTCATTTCATTGAGGGACTTTACCAATTTACCTTTATCTTCTTGGATTACCTCTTAGACCTTCTCATTTTAACTCTTAGACCTTCCTTTCATTATTTCATAAGGAGTAAGAGTAAATCCCTTACAAGGGAGTCGTCATTCTTTTACACACACATTCATTCTAGTGCTCATAAAATCTGTTGGAAAAACATTTTTTTTTGTTCGGATATCCTTTGGAAAATCAAGTAAAACCATAGACAATAAGCCTTCATTTATTTTGAACCCGTTTCATAAGTGGAATCAAACCACACACTCTTCATCTCATTTTTTGGGTACCGGTCCCTCATACCCCGTGCTTATTCGATCTATGTTTTACAAGACTTTTCAATTTAAAAAAGACGTGCAAGTGATGTTAGTACATACTTTCATTCATTTCAAGCAATTTGATTAGGTGTGTGAGAAAACATTTTTCGTTCGGATATCCTTTGAAAAATCAAGTAAAACCATAGACAATAAGCCTTCATTTATTTGGAACCCGTTTCATAAGTGGAATCAAACCATTTTTGGGGTACCGGTCCCTCATACCCCGTGCTTATTCGATCTATGTTTTACAAGATTTTCCAACTTTAAAAACGTGCAAGTGAAGTTAGTATATATTATTCATTTCACATATTCAAAGTTAACTTTCACATAAGCACACATATTTCCACATATTTCACAAAGGCACATAGTTTAGTCACAAAATCACAAAAGCAAGTGAGACACATAATAACTCAAGCAAAGAACATAGATCACATATTTACACATATAGCAAAACAACTCAAAGCATTCGATTATTTATAATTACTATCTCCAAGTTTCATTAATTAAAGTTCAAGCCTTCTTTCTCAAGAGACTTGAAGTTTTCTTTCAAGTAGCACCAAATTTCCATTTATTTCATTTTCTTTCCAAAACATTTCGAACCATCAACAATTCAATCACACAAAATTCCATTTTTATTAATCTTGTCCTCGGTTTTTACTTCGTATATTATCTTATTAGTCATAATAGATCATAAACCATGGATTGCAAGCTTCCTCGACCCGAAGGGAGTACACTTACAACCTCGTAGGTCAATATATATATACACATAGAAACATATACTTATATATATAGCACATATAGATTATAAATAAACCATGGATCAAGTACTTTCTTCGACCACGCAGGTTTACGAAAACCCTGGATCAAAGTTTCCTTAAGATCATGCAGGTCTAGTATATATACATACATACATAGAAATAAAATTACACTATTATTCTTAGTTCTTTAAGATTATATATTTAAAGCTTAGATTCTTACATGCATGGATGATCAAAGCATAAATTAAACACAAAGTTTTATTTTCTTTCCCCTTTAGTTTTCGGTCACCACAAGAACATTAACAAGAAATTAAAGAGAAGAAAAATACTATTGGTGTTGAAGCACTTGTAGCAAGAATTCGAAAATTCTCACCTTAATCTTCTTAGATAATTGGAAGGGTGTTATTTCCTTTTCCTTTGGCCAAGAATTGTACTCTTGAAAGAGAGATTTTGGGGCTTTCCTACACTACTAATTTCGAGGAGAAGAGAAAGAGATTTTGATCTTTGATCTTTAGGATGTGTGGAGAATATGAGAAAATAGATGAAGGCTTGGGTTCTATTTATAGAGTAGTGGGGACTTGCAACCTTAAAGATTAAGAATTGAAGAGTGACCTTTTTACAAGTTAGGAAAACTTAGGAATTATGTAGAGGGACTTCTTTGGAATTTCATTTAACTATTAAAAAAAGAAATTCAAAAGGAAAATCTTAATGTACATGGGCTCACCTAGAGAATGGTTGTACTAAAGGAAAATTTTGGTCTTGTGTTGTACCATGGTCAAAATTTAGGGATGAATAGGAGGAATTTTCTATTTTTATTTAAGAAAATATGTGATTTAAAATTCTCCTAACAAATAAGTTCTAGCAAATAAAGGAGTATAATTAATTTCTAGATTAATAATTAACTAAGATGATCAATTTAAATTCGTCCAAAATTATTTCGGATTAATGCATTCTATATAAAACTTCACCGGTTATCACATAAATAAAATCTTAAACTAATAAATGCACATAAGAAATAAAATCACTTTAATTAAATGGATGCTAATTAATGAAAAATTAAATTATCGGAGACGCGGGGTGTTACAATGCGTTTAGTTAAACGATAAAACTCAATGTGTATTATGACAATAAAAGTACAACTCACTTGATCAAACATCAAGTGTTTGATGAGAGGTCTAAATAAATTGAGGTGGGATTGCATTTTGTAAGAGACGTTATGAGCATTAGACTTCGACGCTCCTACCACCTCCTTCAACTTGTCGCTTGACTTGCTTATGCTTTCCTACCGTGCATCGGTATTATCTCTCTGAACTTTGACTCCAATTTATTGGGTGTTATTCCTGCCATAGCTCTTGAACTCAACTCTTATGTTCAATTCAATTTTCCACATACGTCGCCACTAGGTTTTGCATAATTTTGCACGTCTAAGATCCCTTCACAAACAGTCTCTTAACATGCCAGCAAAATACTCAAGAAAAATATTTTCCGGTGATAAAAGTAAGAGAGAGAATTTGCAAACTAAACGTACTAGCTGAAATTTTGTAACCCTTCTCAATGAACCCTAAGCCTCTTATTTATAATCAAAACTCAGAGTTAGTATTTGAATTTAATTACAATTCAAGATTTATCCTAAATTACATTCATTAACTAATTAGAACTTTAGATTTGCCATGTTGATTTATATGCCTATAAAATCTACTCTTTATATTGAGACAGATTAACCGTTAAGACATTAATGTTCCAACTATAACTCTTGTGTGTGTACATAATTGAATTAATAAAAGCAAAATAAAGGACACAAGAATTTAATGTGGTTCAAACACAATTGTGATCTACATCCACGAGAACGTGCAAACAAGATTTCACTAGTTTCGGATAAAGTGTACAGTAATTGGACTTAATAAAAAAAAAAACTAAAGACTCCATCTGTGTGTTATACGCTGTTCTCGCACACAACTCTAACTTGTAATTCTCACAACAGTTCCTCCATCCGCACTCTTGAACTCCCTCCAATGTCGAATTATTTTCAGACGATGGATCGACCTCTCCCAGATCTTTTGAGCACTTCTCCCGAAACGTCGATCTTCTTTATGGATTGGTAGAAGAAACTCGTACTGCTGCCACACCTGACATGTAGACAGGGTTGCAGCACAGGTTGCACCCTTCAAAGACTTTCAGTTGAGATTTTTCGGTTAAAGCTCTGAGTTTCTACGTTGGAATTATGGGCTATATATATGCACGAATTTATTCTCCCTAAACCTATCTTGAACCTAAAGAAATCAATTCTAAGGAATTAAAGTTCTTTATGATCTCTACAACCTAAATTAGATAAGCAAGAATCTTTAAAATATATTTCATAATCTAATACAAATTATAAGGAAATAAATAAAGTTCTCAAATAAATCTTTATAAATTTGGACCATACAAAATTTTCTAACAAAAACATGGAATGAAATCGATGTCAAATTTTATCGAAAATCCATACATTTCTCCAAATCTCGTAAGCCAAAATCTCGTGCCAACATGCACTAGATCACATATCTTCATAATCCTTGTTGACATGGCAACTTCAATAAGTAATAAATGAGGCATATGAAGCTAGATTACTTGACTAAATAGAACTACATGTTTGCTTCTCTGCTTATACTGGAACGGGCCTCGACAAACCTCTCTCGATGAGACATTTAATGCCAAAGTATAAACAAAAAGCCCAATTAACTTTAGAAAATTCTGCTTAACTTAAACCCAATTCAACAAAAAAGCCATTAATATAATTCGATTAATCTACCGAATTGACATCATCAAGCACATATGTTATACAATCTTCCATTGACAAATGTACTTAGATAGGTGCCAAAATTAAACTATAGAATTTCCCCAAGTGATGGAATTGTATACTGATAACTATGTACAACATTCTTATGCCTCTAATACATGTATTGTTGGCAACAAGTGATACCAATAAAAATGGTTGTTGTTGCTCCACAAGGGGTGGAATAGCGGTTGGAGTAAGAGAGTTTGTGTCAATTGACCCATGTTCGAATTCATTGCAACGGTCTCTAGGTCGAGTTCATCATAATTACCCTATTGTGGTTTCCATCTCTTATATAATTTACGAGCTATTCCATAAGAGTGGAGGTTTATCGAGTACACTTATATAATTGACTGGAGGTTCCTTCATTGTATATAAAAGAAAATTGTTGTTGAACTTTATTTACATTTCTATTTCTTTGGTTTTTGAAACACAAACATCGTCTCCTCTCCATATGATTTTTATAAAATTCAACTCACTAATGTCGTCATAACCAAGGGTAGAACTATTATGTGGCTGGAGGGCCATTGATGCCCCCAAATATTATTTGTCTACGTGTATTTTTTTAAATATATTATCTAATATAGATTACTGCCCCCAAAAGAAATCATTAGCTATTTAAATATGACAAACATATTAAAGTTTTCAATTTTAATATTACCAGTAATATTATACAAAAAATATTGTGTTAATCTTTATTTATTATTTCATTGTAAGTATTATTTAGTAATGTTCGTGCTCGATCGAATTTCAAATTTTATTTTTGTTACTTCTTAAATTTTGTCCCTGTAAAATTCTTGGGGTTGTTCCCTGAAATTTTACACCTCCTAATATTTTGTTCCAGTACTTCTGCCTTTAGGTGTGATCGTGTTTGGTCAAAATCAATGGTTTGTTTGTTATTATTATACTATAATTACTATTATGTTTCTTATTTAATTATTGTTTTCAATTTGAGTATATTTAAAGAGTAGGAATTAAAAGAAAAATTAATTACTTGTAGAGAGAAACGAGGAGAGCAGTTATCAGTTATATCATGGTAGAATGCCAACATGGGCAAATTGACCGAACGAAATAATCCTGATATAGCTCTGGCTAAAACAAAATTAGAGAGAGAAAATATAACCTCAAGAAAAGATGGTAGAAAAAAGAATAAGAAAAGAAGAGATCCATTAGTCTTTATTAAATTTATGTCTGTCAATCCAAATATCCTGTCCAAAATCATCCTTCCTACGCATATAATCTTCCACTTTTTTTTCTTGTCCTTATATATCTCAATTTAATTGAAATCTCGGGTAGAATGATGACAATGGAGGGGAGCATGGATAAAGGGGTATTGGAGGACATAATACAACGGCTATTGGACGGCAAAGGAGGGAAACAGGTTAAACTTTCGGAGGCAGAGATTCGTCAGCTCTGCGCCAACGCCCGACATATCTTCCTTTCTGAGCCCAATCTCCTCCAGATTCGTGCCCCTATTAGGATTTGCGGTAACTTTCCGCTTTTTTTTTTTTTTTTGGTTTTTGATTTGTGATTTTGAAGGCCCTAAGCATATTTGAATAAAGATTGTGTGGATAACAATTTATGAATAATAATTCAGGTGACATACATGGACAATACCAAGACCTGCTGAGACTGTTTGACTATGGAGGGTACCCTCCTAGTGCAAATTACCTATTTCTAGGAGATTATGTTGATAGAGGGAAGCAGAGTTTGGAAACTATATGCTTACTATTGGCTTACAAGATTATGTATCCTGATAAAATATTTCTTTTGAGGGGAAACCATGAAGATGCCAAAATAAACCGTATTTATGGTTTTTATGACGAATGCAAGAGGAGATTCAATGTTCGTCTTTGGAAGATATTCACCGACTGCTTTAATTGTTTGCCTGTATCTGCACTGATTGATGATAAGATACTATGCATGCATGGTGGGCTTTCTCCTGAATTAACAAACTTGGATCAGATAAAAGATATTACTAGGCCTACGGATATTCCTGACAGTGGTCTCCTTTGTGATTTGCTTTGGTCTGATCCTGATCCTAGAATACATGGTTGGTCTGATAGTGATAGAGGTGTTTCGTGTATTTTTGGGCCCGATGCAGTTGCTGATTTTCTCCAAACTAATGAATTGGACCTCATTTGTCGCGGTCATCAGGTATTTATTAAATCTCATGTCTTAACTTTTCTTGTGAATTATTTACCTCAAAATTAATAAATTTGCTGATTGTTTGTGAGCAGGTGGTGGAGGATGGGTACGAGTTCTTTGCCAAGAGACGACTTGTTACATTATTTTCAGCTCCAAACTATGGTGGGGAGTTTGACAATGCAGGTGCTCTTTTGAGTGTTGATGAATCATTAGTTTGTTCTTTTGAGATATTAAAACCTTTGGCAAACACTTCCAAGCTGCCTCTCAAAAAGGTATATTTCAATTTATATTTTTTTTTATCAAAAAACATTTGTCTGAATGTTGACAAGATATTCTACATATTTTGACAGCCCCCTAAAATTGGAGGATGATACATGAGAGAAAGTTTATATGAAAGTTTGTTGGTAGTGAATAGCTGGAGTGGAATGCTTACGTCATCATATTCATAACCCAACAAATTTGAAAAGCTCTGAATATCACTAAAGAAAAAACATGTGTAAATTGGAGAAGCACAAGTTGTTTGACTTTTGTTTAATAGCTTCGGGTTGAGACAACTGTAAACGTTGTTTGTTTATTTGCTTCTGGCTAATGTAATTTTGTTGTATCATTTTGTATATCCATTATGTGTTTTTTCTCTCCTTTTTTTCTTTTCTTTTTTGTTAGTCCCTTAGACCACCTCAAGGTTAAATGTATACACTGTTTAAGGCTTTTTAACGCATGGATTTGTCTCGTATCCTCGTTCCCCCTTTAGATACTTTCATCTAGGGGATAAACGAGCTAAGCTCGAGTTGAGTCAAGGCTAACGATTTTGGCGAGCTCGAGCTCGATCTTTTCGAGTTGAGCCCATTTTGTGTATGTTTTTAATTTTTCGGAAAAAAATGCAATTTGCCCCCTAGAAATTTTAAATTTTTGCACTTCCCCTAATAATATATTAAAAAAAAATTGACTCCTCAGTTGTACTTTGCCCTAAATCACAGTGATTTGCTCCAAAATGGTCGAGACGATGACGTGGGATCCTTGGAAGATATTTTGGATGATAGCTCGTCGGGGATTCCACCGGAGGGGTACCTGCAACGCCGGGAAGGGTTTCCCGGCGTAGAAGCTCCGACGATCAAGTTAGTTTTTATCAAGAGATAATCGAGTGTGATATGTAAGAGAGAGCATGGGAATGATAAGTTGAGAGTAACTCCCTATTTATAGGTGAGGATACTTGATGTGTAAGAAATAAGCAAATTTGCCCTAACTCCTCTTCTTGGGCCTGATATAACTTTGGGCCAAATACAAGTGAAAACTCAATCCACGGCCCAATAAATGATTAGGAAACCCCATGAGGACAATTTACTCCATATCAACTACTCCCCCTACTCCGAAGTCTAGAAGTCGTGATTAGACTAGGAGTATTATTCACGTGTTGTCTTTTCGCCTTACATCGTTTTTTCTATGGTTGTATGACTCGTGCGCTAATCTTGCCGTAATGGCTTGAATGTCTCTAGCGGTTTACATACTCGATTTGATAGGCTATTCTTGCCTATTATAACAATTCATTTTTGCTCGATTCGACGCCTCGTTTTTTCCTCGATTAAACAACTCATTTCGTTTCGATTTAACGACTCGTTTTCGCGCGATTTAACGCTTCATTTTTGCACTTACCTCGCCTCATCTCGTTTCGATTTAACGACTCATTTTCGCGCGATTTAACGCTTCATTTTTGCACTTACCTCGCCTCATCTGTTTCGATTTAGCGACTCATTTTCGCGCGATTTAACGCTTCATTTTTGCGTTTATCTCGCCTCATCTCGTTTCGATTTAACGACACATTTTCGCGCGATTTAACGCTTCATTTTTGCACTTACCTCGCCTCATCCGTTTGTTGGAGTAGGTGACCAACAAGCCAACTTGTGGCTGTGGTCTTTCCTTTTATCTTGTAATAAAACAATCGTTTTTTCGTTCGTAATAATAAAATATCTTATTTGGCATTCTATATCTGTTATCCCATGCAAGTAGCATAGATATAGTCCTAACGAGTTACTCTATTACTGTGAGTTGATCTAGTAGAATCGTGAGATAACTCAGCAATGTAATGTAACTGTTAAACCTTGTTCCTAGTCGATGGGTTACGCCAATAATGAGGATACCGGCCTTTCCCTTTTGAGACTAGCACTTAGTGTATGTGTACTGCGTCTCATCAGTCCTCGGTGTTGTGACATCGGCATACTTGAGTGGGTGCTCATACTGGATGAGTTCACTGAACTCCCTCGCCCTAGAAATCTATAAGTGGTTCTCATTCATCGAGTAATAGATTTCTAAGATATAGTTGTACACCATTAGTCCTTAAGACCCAGACATCACCGTGACTTCACTAGAGGACCGATTGTATTGTGACCTGTCCCTGAGTCCCACCGCGGACCACTCCAAGGGCCAACGTTCGTGCAATCCGAAATCTAGTGTGAAGTCTGTGCATTGTAGTAGGGGATTCGAGCGCTTGAGTAGTCATGGATGTCCTGTGTGTTCTGACGGTTTATAATCCATGGAATCTCTGGCCAGAGTTGATAGTGGGGTGATTAGGGAAATGTGTTTCCCTAAGTCGCACACGAACGGATTTATAATACCTAGAACGTTCGCACGGTTATTGAACTTTATAAGAGGTCTCGGTGAACCAATGCCTCTAGTTCAATCGGGACATGTGCTGCGAAAGGATCGTACTGTACGCTAACTATATCATAAGGTTCTTGCAGGCACTTCATTTGTATCTAGGGAATCATGATGCGTAGTTGCTAGACGCCAATCTTGATTCGTTGGGCACCGATTTGATCGGGGATTAGGTATAACGAGTTTTACTCTAATCGGGACTCTTGGGAGGAGTTCGTATAAGAACAATGTGTTGTTCGAATCACAAAGAGTTGTGAGCCCACGGCTAGCATACACCTGAACCATTGAGGGTCACACTTCTCGTGTAACATGGATCCTTGATAACAATGAGCATAGGTTAATATGTTAATCTTTGCAAAGTTGGAGGTCAATATGATTGAGTCCAAGATTCGTAATTGTGGATTACGAGTCGGAATAAACGTAGAGAAAGAGACATGCGGAAATTAGTGAACTTTCTAAATTGAGAAGTTTCCCAATTTAGCAGGTCCACTGAAGTGGAAGTTTCCAATTTTGGAAATTGGAAATTTCGAAGAGGCACTCGTATCGACGAGGACTTCGAGCTCGTCACAAATATAATTTTGTTATAATTTTGTGGACGATCGTTTATTAAAAACGAGGCCGACGAGGGAATGGGCTTAATGCATCAGTGGGACAAGCCCAATGACTTAAGCCCACTAGGGTTGAAAACCCTAAGTATAAATAGACCTCAAACAAGAGTTTGAGATCAGATTTTTACTCACAAAAACCCTAGCCGTCCAGCCTCTCGGCCGCTGCTGCCCCGCCGCTCCGGCGCCGATCACTGCCGGAATCCGCCGGTTCTTTCCTCTCCTTTCTCTATCGTATTCCCTTGTTATCTAACCGCTTTGTATCTAGTGCTACAGTAGGGGGAGATCCGTTTATTCGAGGTGAAACCTAATTGGAGAGGAGTTGCTGCCCCGACGAAATTGCCACGCCGCTGCTGCACCGCCGCACGCGCCGCTGCACCGCCCACGCGCCGCCGTCGCCTCACCTTCGGACCAGCTGCCGTTTGGTGGTGTTCCTGCAGCCCCTAGGAGTGGTATAAAGCAGCTTGTACGTGATTCGTATTAGGTTTCGATTCGTCGAAATCTCACGCTACAAGAGGTAAATAAATCAAAACTATCGTAAATTAATTCGAGCATGTTTGTATGAATTATAATTTATGATTATGAGTAATATGTGATTACGTGTTTCGATTTTATTGAATGATGAATAAGCATGTTTCGTAATTTTCGGTTTTACGTGTTTTCAATTAAATCGATAATTACCATATGTATGGCGGAAGCGTTAAGGTACGTTGACTATGTGATTAGTTTATGCATGTAATCGAAACTAGTTCGATATAAAAATTTTAAATTCCGCTGCGTATACATGCACGATCCCCAACAGTGGTATCAGAGCCACGGGTTAATCGTTTATTTGTCAACGTGTTTATCGTTTTCGAAAGCATGCTTCGATTTGTTGAATTGTTGAATTATTGGTGTTATCTAATTGGGTGGTTTAATATTAATTAAATATTTTGAATATTTCAGAAAATATAAAAATTTTAATTTTGAAAAATTCGATTTTTGCTGCTGTTTTTCAGCTGACCGAGCCGGTCCGGTCCGACCGGTCCGGTCAGCACAACAAAAAAAAAAAAAAAAAAAAAAAAAATAATTTGATTTTCTGAAATTAATATTAAAAATTAATTGATTTTTAATTTTTGAAATTATTTATCAATTAAACCCAATTAGATAATTGATCCATTAATTTAATTTGAATTGAAAGAATAGTGTTGGATTAATTATTTAATTTAATCGTTAAATTAGTTTAATTAATGGAACACAAATTAGATAGCAAATAATTAATGGACTTCATTCTTATTTGATTGATTTATGAATGAAGGGAGTCCGTTAATTATATTTGCAATTAATCGTATTAATTAAATAATTCATGAGATCAATAATTGTGATTAAGTACGATGAGGATCGTATGTCTCTCTTAGGATCAATATGCGTTTCCACATACCTAGAGAACATAGTTGTAGGAATCACAAACGATCATAACCTAAAACTTCCGATGAGCTAATAAGATTTAATAAATAAAATCCCTCATTCTTAATTAAGAATAATTATCAAGCTATAAAGAAAAACCAAATTGTTGATTTTTCTTTCCTTCTACCAACAATTAAATTATGTGTAGCCTCTCATAATAGTGTAGTAAGCCGTGTTAGCGGGGAGTGCTATTGTGGGATAAGCTGTAATTTAATTGACATTAGATGGAGATACGGTCATAGATAAAATTATGTTGGATTAATGTGGTCGGCTAGATTAACTAGGGATTGCATTAGTTTGATATAGTTGGATCTATGACATCACATATTGGTAGGCTAGACTTGACACACGAAGATTTTGATATTCGCTAGATTAACTTAGGTCATTATCAAGTGTGAGGTAAATCGATCTTTAGGGTCACATAGTGATGTGATTGATAGTACTCTACCTTTAGGCTTATGTAATCGGGATAGATTAACTACGGGTTACATTAGCGCTATTGGACCTAAAGCCCATTAAAGAAAAATAAGTTTTCTCGATTGTCTGCTAGAGGGTGGTGGAATTCGATAAAATTAGTGGGAGAACAATTAAAACATAAAAGTCCAAAATTTTAATTGTAACGATTATTACGAACTAAACTCTAATTA